TAAACTAATAAACTGGCAGAATATTTATCTAAATATTAAACTAATAAACTGGCAGAGTATTTATCTAAATATTAAACTATTAAACTGGCAGAATATTTATCTAAATATTAAACTAATAAACTGGCAGAATATTAATCTAAATAATAAACTAATAGAGTATTTGTCTAAATAATAAACTAATAGAGTATTTGAGTATTTATCTAAATAATGAAGAAATGGAGTATTTATTTAAATATTTAACTAATGGAGTAATTATCTAAAGAATAAAATAATGGAGTATTTACAGAAATAATAAACTAATGGAGTATTTATCGAAATAATAAACTAATGGAGTATTTGAGTATTTATCTAAATAATAAAGAAACGGAGTATTTGTCTAAATAATAAACTAATTGAGTGATTATCTAAATAATAAACTAACAGAGGATATCGCTAATGAAAAGTAGTAATCTCTGTCCGATCATATTTCTCGAACCCTTGACCGATTTGCCTCAAATTTTGATCTGGGAACTCGGTTGAACCATAGGACTATTTTATGCTTGGTTCAACAGTTCTAAATTGAGTAGGTGGAATTTTAAAGGGGAAGTTAAGTATCCAGGCAAAGCCGGGTTCCCAAGCTATTATTATCGTAAAGTTTAATAGCTTTTATTAATCTAATTCTATTTTTCAGATCAATTTTATGCCGGATAAGCGAGGTAGGAGGGAAGATAAAACTTTTAATAAAAAAATATCCAGTAATTAACCCTTACCTCTACCAGTATTCACTTCTTCTCTCTCAGTCTGTAGAACTAGTAAAGATCCTAAATATTTGGAAAATTATTTGGAATCAATAAATAGCTTATTTTAATGTCTTCATAAGCCATTTTAAACACATTTTTATAATAATAATAATAATAGTAATAATAATAATAATAATAATAAAACGTCGTTTTGTTCTTAGGATAGGTGGCATGTCGTTTTGTTTTTAGGATAGGTGGCATGTCGTTTTGTTCTTAGGATAGGTGGCATGTCGTTTTGTTCTTAGGATAGGTGGCATGTCGTTTTGTTCTTAGGATAGGTGGAATGTCGTTTTGTTCTTAGGATAGGTGGCATGTCGTTTTCTTCTTAGGATAGGTGACATGTCGAATTTTTTTCTTAGGATAGGTGGCATGTCGTTTTGTTTTGTCAAGCTCTGAAAGATTATTTAAATAAAAAAAAATGCTGACTATAAAAGACTGAACTATATGGAAAAAACCACACACATTAAAGACTGATAGACATGGGCAAAACCTGGTATTTTAATTGATTTTAATTGGTTTTTATTAAACTAAAACTATTCAATTTTGATTCTGAATTCAGAATGAAATTTTGTACCAAAAATTAAGATATAAAGTGACATTTATAAAAAATATTTTTGGGGGGTGAAAACAAACAAATCGTTTAAACAAAAATAGCCTTATTCACCGGACCATCCACCCTAAATTCTAATTACATAAATTTTATATCTTTACAACCTGATGTCGAACAGACCTTTGTTTAGATTAAAAAGCTATAGATAAAATAGTCTAATAATGAAAGGTTTACATTACCAGGTTGCAAATATAGAGGTATAAAATTATAATTAAATATGCAAGCTTTATAAAATGGTCCTTTTATATTACCTTTCTGTTCTCTTATTGCTGCTTCCATTCCTTCTTATAGTTCCATTTTTTCCGTTAATACTGCTACTGCTACTGCTACTGCTGCTTTTACTGCTACTGCTGCCGCTAGGGCTAAAAAACATTGCCGAGAAATGCTCCAAAGCTTTTCCCAAAAATCTAATTTTTATTTCTTGTCTTTAACAGGATTAAAGAGGATAAGAGGGGCCTGTCACACAGACTACAGTAAGCATGAATGTACAAATTTGATAATTTAGTAGGTTTTGCATAAAAAAATTTAGCCTTTATGTCAACAAAATGTAAGACATAAAAAATAGAAAAATCAATATTTAATTTTCCAAAATGGACTTTATGTGAAAACTATAAAACTTGAATACATGTCTTGATGAGGAAACAGGGTTAAAAGATCCGGTTCCGCAAAATTTTAGCTCCCTGAATCCGGTTCCGCAAAATTTTAGCTCCCTGATTCCGGTTTTGCAAAATTTTAGCTCCCTGAATCCGGTTCCGCAAAATATTAGCTCCCTGATTCCGGTTTTGCAAAAAGTATGTAGATCCAGGAGGCTAAATATCAACAAAATGAGAGATCATTAAAACCCCTCCTAATCAATTTATAATAAGTCAGCGGGATTAAGTTTCTGCCACAAACATAAACTTGTAATCCGTAAATCTTTACAACCAGCATTACAAGTTTGAAATATCACAGGTCTACAAAATGGGGTTGTAAAGATAAAGAGATCAGAAAATCAGAGTTTGTGGCAAAAACTAAATTCCCTTTTACAAAAAATTAGCCTAAAAAGAAGAGATTATTTTGTTTTGTTTTTACTACCGTTAAACATAATCCGAAACCATTTTTACAGACGCGGATCCGGAATACAGATCCGCGTCGAAATGAATGGATCCTAAGCATGCAGTATACAGGAAAACTATATTAAGACAAGGATTCCTTGGATTAGCATCTTCGTTTATCAAAGTTTCGTCAGAAAACCCGTTCTCCAGTCTACAACACATTTGATAAATAAGACATTTTGCGTTTTCTTGTAAACATTTCACCCTCCTCAACATATTTTTGTAGAAAAATAAAAAAGTAACTGAACTCTCAAGTAAACTTTAACTTTCTAAACCCTTAAAACCTTAAAACCTTAAAACCCTAAAACCTTAAAACCTTAAAACCTGATGGTGTAAACCTTTGATATTAATTTTAACTTTTAACTATTTGACTGTTAGTTTGAAATATCAAAGGTCTGCAATATCAGGTTCCAAAAATATAAGGATATTAGATTTAGAGACCGTGGCGAGTTTTCAGTTCCGTTTAAAGTTAAAATAAAACCAAATTATTTTTTTTCAACAATTTTCGGAAAAAAATTAAACGATGGGAGTAAAATATAAAAATTAATAAATAGATAATTAAAAATAAAAATTTATTTTTACTTTTCAAAAAGCTGCTTCCCGTTTCTGAGAATACCCTGATCTCTGATTGAAGGAAGATCGAGTGGATCTCTGCTTGAAGGATGATCGGGTGGATCTCTGATTGAAGGAAGATCGAGTGAATCGGGCAAAACCCGAACCTCGTGAATATTCGAGCCCGCCCCCAACAATATCGATTCCACCGACGAATTATTCAAATTTGGAACATTTTCATCAAGAGTTAAATTTCTCCCAAACACGGGATGAATAAATAAAATAATATTTACAAAATTTATTTTCATTCTGAAAATCCGTCTTCACTTGATGGTCATATTTTACAGGATTTAACAATCTGAAACGTAATTTAACATTGAAACAGAAATTGTCGTGTTAAATCTCACTTTCACTTAATTCGGTTTTATTGTTATTCCTGAGGTTGGATATTGGTTTATAAATATCAGGATAGATAGATATAGATAGAAGGAGGGTACAGATATGAACCTTATGGTTCTCAAGTAGAACTAGAACTAAACATAAGGCGAACATATTGCCCGGATATAATGACTTGAGTTCAAGTATATTTAGACGCTAACTTTGCATATTTTCCTTTGCAAAATACGGGTACTCTTTCATACATTAGGAGACAACATGTACATTTTATGTATAACATGTATTCTTAGTAGCTATGTATGAAGCAGTGTACATTTCCTCGTGCATGTTTATTCAGGAAGCGGTGTTTTTTCGTCTGTCTTACGTTCAACGTTGAGTTGTCTCCCTATTCAAACCGGTAACACAAAGAAGGCCTTTAGCCCCCCACTCCGCATATGTTGAGTCCGATCGGTCTTTATTTATATATAAACAGACTAACCGGCACTCTAGTATGCCGAGTCCATCAGCTCCTGATCCAATCAGCGTTCAGTAATGTGTTTGGTGTCTATTCTGAACCAATAGAAATTGCATAGCGGTAACATTTATCTTTCTATATATCTCACAATCCAATTAGAGATAAATCCTTATATCGGCGCTTTACACTAAATGGAAATATTTACTTCTACTGAATCTATAGTGCACCTGATATATAAATAGATAAAATGTACTTAGTTAGTTTTAGTTTATATCAAAAAGAACTTCATATGGCTCCACAGAAATAGGAATTCCTACGATTATAGAATATACTATCTGAAGTACCCGGCGTTTCCAGTGGAATTTTTTAAAATCGAATTTTGAAAATTGACCAGCTATAGCTAACATATATTCAAACAAATATATATGAGCAAAGAGCTTTATTATATAGATATTTTTAAGTTTATCGCCCGGCATTGATTACAATAATTATTCATACTTTAAAGCAACATTTCTACGTTTTGAGCATACTTAATTCTAAATTACCGTATTTTTAAAAATTAAGTTAATGGATTTTCTATTCAAATGTCGTTTACCGGAATATATCATATGTTCATGAAGAAAAAAACATAAACCATGTTTTGAAAAGAATGTACATAGATGTCTAGAAATAGGACAGGGAAGTATATACCTTCATTAGATACTTCAAGTTCCCCGGAAGATTTTTAAAGACTTGAATTAAGAGTTGTTAAAATGTATAAAAACAAGTCTACCCTTGGTAAATATCCCAGTTTTCTTCCAGGGACTTGGAAAAATTTTTATTTGGTAAAAACTATAGGTGAATGGTCCCTTTACAATGAATGAAGACACTTTTTTCTAATAGCGATGACAATATTAAAGATCTTTATGCAATGTAATAAAAATCATTAGATGTTGCTTATGACACATACTAGGTCACATTTCAATGATCTAAAATAAAAATAATGAAGTCTTCTTGTTGTTCAGTTATGTTCTACATAATGAACAAATATATTTATATATTTATTCTTATACGAACCTTAGTTACTCATCAGGAAACCATGGTAGGTAACTTAAATTTAGAATTAATACCTAGCTCTTACCTCAAATATCAGAACTTTCCCTTTGATAGCTTTATTTTTTCTAGGTAATCAAGAATAATTCATTGGATATTGAAAATAGTAATTGGACTTTTATGGAGAAATCTTTTCATTCATTGCAGCCATTGGTTTAATCCACAAATACAAATACAAACACAAACACAAACACAAACACAAACACAAACACAAACACAATTACAATTACAAATACAAATACAAATACAAATACAAATACAAATACAAATACAAACACAAATACAAATACAAATACAAATACAAATACAAATACAAATACAAACACAAATACTAATGCAAATACAAATACAAATACAATACAAATACAAATGAATAAATAAATAAATAAATACAAATTATCACTTAATTAAATGGAAACACATCCTTGAGTTCAAAAACGCCTATAGAAACTATAGAAACACACTAAAATAAACTAAAATAAACTAAAATATAAACGCCTATAGAAACTATAGAAACTATAGAAACTATAGAAACTATGGAAACTATAGAAACTATAGAAACTATAGAAACTATAGAAACTATAGAAACTATAGAAACTATAGAAACTATAGAAACTATAGAAACTATAGAACAGCTACAAAGACTATGGACAAACATCTTATTTCTTTAATTTAAACAACAAAAATGTATGTACAGGTTGGCCCAAAAAATAGGGATTAAGGTTTTTCAGCCCTTTCGATATTTTAAAAAGACTCGAAAATGTGATCCAGTATACTGTTTTAAATATTGAAAGGGTTCGTTAAAGTAAGATTTTTTGTCACGTAATCCTAATATTTGGCATAAAATTATGTCAAATATTAGAAATTTTCGAAAGTCTGTTAACAAATTACAAATTTTCTGAAATCCAAAGTATATTGGTAGTTTTCATCCTAGATCTCTATGATTGAAGAGAAGCGTCAAAAGAGGGGATGCAGTAATCCCGGCCTCGTGGTTGAGAACAGCTTTGATGGACCTTAGAACTAAGCGATTTTTTGCATGACATCAAATTGGGGACTCCTTAAGAAATAATTTGAAATATTAACCTCAAAGTAATCTTATTAAGTATTCATTATTATATTTATAAGCTTTTTTTCTAGAATATTGATTTGAACAGAATAATAAAAATTATTAACTGTTCAGAGTAAATAGAGAGGTTTTCGAACATTCAACATAGTTTTACGCCAAACGGAGGCATTAGACGATAAAAATGTTATTTTAACGACGCCTTCTAAAATTAAAAACTAAATTAAAGGGAGTGTTCGGGAAAAATGAAAGGGGGTATAGGCTCAATGCGATAAAAAAGCGCTTTTGATCGCTACTAATCTTACTTCTATCTG